TTTTGTTAACAGACAGATTGTTTTAGAAAATCGTATGTGGAGATTTTTTGAATATTTTAAGAAAGAAAGCATTTTTCTTTCTAAAATATTCAGAATCTAGAATAGGATCTCAAGTATCTGTGGTCAAAATTTCGACTAGATCGAACCATATTTTCGTAGGGTAATAACGTGATCGGATGAAAATCGAGATCTCGAGAAAATGCATACGAGATCCTACCACACACTCAGAAGTAAAAATTCGCCGATTTCCTTTTCCGATTGTCTATCTCTGGTAAAGATTCTAGTCCGATTGAACATTGTTTTTCACATTTCAAAAAGGTGAAAGAAAGGGAATACTCCATTGGAACTTAAACAATAATTCGCAGATATTTTGTTAAAACATCTTTGCACAGATTATAAAAATTGCGTAGAGAATCTGTAATCTGATTGAGAACACTTGACATACAACCGCTCGCTTCATTGTGTTATATTCGTCAAAAGTATTAAGATAAATATAGTAAGAGGATAAATTTTGTTTTTATTTTTTTAGTATAAATAGAGTTTACAATCGTTTAAATGTCAATTTCATTTTTTGATCAATTTAACAGTGTTTTTATTTTCTAGACATTTATTTATGAAAAAATGTACTGAATTAATTGATGAAAGATACTTAACAAAGCAAAAGATTGACGATCAAGTTAAATTATCCAGAAAAGAACTACGTCGTGTAAGTTAATCGATTTTTGTTGCTGTTAACTCTCAAATTACTGAAAACATCCGAAGTGTTTTCCCTATCTATTTTTTGACTAAATTACAACTCGTGTAAAATAACTTCATTATTACTTTTGGTTTTCTACCGTCTTTCGAATAACTTAAAACAAAAAAATGCAATTTTGATAATTATCGAGTTATTTTTTTCGTTTTTTTAGAAATTGTTAGACGTGAGATTAGCATCAAATGTGAGTTTGAATGTTGATACGAATCCTCGTCTATTATCAATTCGTGCTACCGCTACTCAGTTAGAAGAACAGGAAAAACAACAACAAACTCGTCCTTCACAAGTTATTACATCTCAATCTCGTCTGTCGATATCATCGTCCGATCTAAAAATTCGATGTCGTTCTGCTTTAACTGGTCCTACTACTTCATCTTCATTATCATTTTATATTAACAGTCGAACAAATTTTGAATTAGACAATACTCGACGACAAACAAAGTTGAGACGTCGACTAAGTGATCCAATCACAGAAGAAGAACGAGATATTGTTCGTTATTATTCAAGTCGAGCCTATATCCAAAATGAAAAATCTAAATATAATTTTGAAGATGAACAACAATTAATTCGAAATACAAATTTAAGTGAATTACGAGAAAGTTTTGATCGATCACATGCCATTACGCCGTTGGATTATAATGACGATGATGATGATGATGATGATGATGATGATGATGACGATGGTAATAAAAATAATAAATTAGAAAATAAACATCAATTATTAAAACCATTAAATGATATGGATAGATTTATGAGTGCATATAAAACTAGTCGTTTTTCAAAAAAATCTTAGATAATCTCAAATCTGTCTGATTAAATGAGTACAAAAGAAGATAACACAGTTTAGATAATACAAATTATTTATTTTTTGACAATCATGTATGACTTATAACTATGATCTATTCTGATAAACTTGATTCTTGATATCTAATAATTTTTCAATAATTTTCGAACTCTTTCTTCAAAACTTTATATTTCCTAAACTTGGTTTTATGCTTTATTAGGCAATTCTTATTTTTATTGATAACAGTAGTTCTGCTGATAATCTCGTTGTATACATGAATCGTTTTTTTTTTTTGTCTTTTTTTTGTTCTTTATTAATTCCGTCCACTATATCTTTTTTCTGATAAGTCAACAATTATGGGGATGTTTTTCCTTTTTTTTTATACATGTTTTTTATTTTTATAAAACATTTGCTCTTATGGGATGCTTTGTGTACTTATTTATTTATTTATTTAAATTTTATACTAACAACGATTGGTTCACCAATAAATATTTTTTGTATATCTCAAAATAACAAAATACATTGAGGTGAATTTTCTGATATGTTAATGACACTTCGCTACATGTTCAAATTAGTCTGTATTATGAGTGACATTACATGACAGTTCATTATACGTTCATATTCAAATGTAGATGCCACCCTTTCTTTCGTGACCAGTTCTTAGGAACTGGAACTGAAGTAAACAAGAAATTATACTTAAGTTTTTTTTTTGAGAAACAGACTCCTATTGTTTTTTTTCTATGAGATCAATAACAAATGTTTTTATTGAGCTATAAAAAAAATCTAGAAACTTTTTATTAGCTACTCTAATACGCTACTTAAATGTAGCTGCCATCTAAACACCCTCTGATAGTATCGATCTTGTACACATCATTCTGGTATTTTTTCAATCTTTTACAAAAACTCTTTTATTTTATTTATAGTTATTTTAGATATGCATAACAGTAATCTAATACGTTTATTTGAAGATTTATCTGTGACACCGAATGAAAATCGTTTGCAAATATTAGAACGTATTAATATTGAATTATCGATAATAACAACTACTCAATTTGAACAAATTCATCAAAATATTCCATGGCAATTATTATTTGAATTAGTAACCATAAATACAAACAATGACGATGAATACGATCGTCTACTATGTTCCATATTTGATTTATTTATTGTAAATTTATCAGTAGAAAATATTATCTCAGATTTTTATCCACTTCTTTATAATGGTTTAAAAAATCCGGAAATATCAAATCGTATTAAACTTTTGTGTTTAAAAGCATTAGATAAACTATCAAAGTGTCAAAAAGAAAATTGTTTTCATGTTATTAAACAATTGTTTCAACATGAACAAATTTATCAATTGTTAAAATTATTTCTCGACAAAGAACAACAAAATTTATGGATTAAGTAAGTACACATGTCGTAATGCCGAGAAGAGTGTTCCTCAGTCCTCTCTTTTCACCTCAGTAAAGAGTCTTTGACTGTCAAAACATGACTGCAAACAGAATAGAATTTATGAAATTAAAATAAACTTTTATGTCTCTAATGAACACTTTTTGTAGGATCCTTTTTTATTTATTTTTATTATCTTTATGTATTTATTGATGAAACAAATAGTTATAACTAAGACAGGTCAAAAGAGAGCAGATCCCCATTATTATCATTCTGTCTAGCCAATAAAAAGTAGAAAAAGTAGGAAGGAAAGTAGCGAAGAAAAGAATGATCAATGTTCTAATTCTTTCCGCCAAAATTTTAATCCTTTTCCTTGTCAAAAAACAATCGAGCTTCCCATAC